ATACAAATGGCTTTAGTGATTCACGCAAAACTACATATACTATGTAAATTGTGACCTCTCTCTCTCTCTCGTCGTTTAAAAGGTTAACATGAGTAACCAAGAGAAAAAACAAGATGTTTTATATCGCGAATATAATTAAATATAAAATAAATAATATAAATAAATAAATATAAAATAAACATATTTTTTGAATTTTGAAAATATATTTCAAAATATTATTTCTCAATAAGTAAATGCCAAATATAAAAACCATAAAATAAAATACAATTATTTTTTAGAAGTAACAAACATCCAAATATTTCATTATCAGTTATAGAAATATAATCGTTTATCGACCATGTGTAATACTTTCGTAGAAATCAATCTTTAATAAGAATCATAGTATGAATCAAGAGTATGAATAAAAAATTAAGAACAATGGAGAGAGAGAAGCCATAATTTAAAATTATTATTCCCCCATTAAGCGTGTCCCGGACTTTTATCGCAGCCATTTTGCTGCGATAAGCAAAAGCTTGGTAGAGTAGAGTTTATAGTCTTTAAACTAAAATAGAATGAACAACACATTCGTTCAAAATAAATGTAATAATATTCTTACCAAAGAAAAATATGTTAATGAAATTAATTAAATTACAATGAATATATTACTTTTCGTAAAAATTGTAAATGGCATATTTGAAAATACAAATTTAAATTAGAGATTTACAAATATAAAAAGCCATTTCTTTTTCATTTTAATATTCCTTCTACTTCTTCTTCTTCATGTTCTTTGAAGAAAAATTAAAATAAATTAAACGACGTTCAGTAATCCTTTGAAATGTTAGGGGGGAAAAAAAGGTAAAAACTCTCTTTCAGTGTTTAAACCATTCGAGGAAGCAAGCATTGCTCGAAGTAAGAAGAAGAAGAGGAAGAAGAGAAATAAGAAACACACAACCTGTGTGCTTCTCTCTTCTTTTTTAGAAACCAATATACCGAGGGAAGAAGAAGAGAGAGAAAAACCAGTCCTTGCCTATTTGCATAATACTCATTGCCGTTCGTTTTCAGTAAAGTATGAAGTACCTTGAAAAGGCCACAAGTATTATTTGCACGAGTAGTTAGAAGAATTGTTTGGTTGGGCCTTATCCACGTGTATTACATCAAACTATACATAGAAAATATCTAATTAATTAACAGTAATAGAATGAATTAAAATTTGTACTCCTATCAATTATCCAACATTTATAAAATTATTATAACGCTTATCTTTACAATTATAAATGCTATTTCTCAATATAAGTACAAAAACATTAAAACTAAAATTAAATCCTTAAAGTGTACGTTGAGTAAAAAAAAAAAAAATTAGGGCTAAAAATTAATCAGTTAAGATTGCTGGTTGAATTAACGGAAGCTCAGAACTCGAACGTGATTACTTGTTGGATGAATTCCCATTAAAGAAAGTCGACGATTTCTCTCTATCTTTTAATTTCCTTATATATGTAGAAAGATATATAGATTCTTTACACTTCCTGTATGAACAGGATACATCATACACTCTCTCTATCTCTCTATCTTTCTCTTAAGAGAGAAAGAGAAAGAGAAAGGAATAAATAAATAAACAGAGAGTCTCTTCCTTTTAAGATACACGGCTTACCAGATCGTCTTCGAAATCGTCGTCATCGGTGTCAGAGTCCGAGTAGCCTCTTAATTTTCGTACCTTCTTTTTAACTTCTTTCTTGACGACTCTCGTTATTGCACTTTCCGGCTGTATACAATCGATCGATCATCAAAGTATGTTATTTTTATTTTTATTTTTAAATAAAATCCAATTTACAAGAGAGCTTCCTAACAACAACTTTTTTGCTACACTTACGATAATTTTGTTAAGATTGGGAAGGGGGATAGAGAAAGAGAGAGAGAGAGAGAGAAATTACTTTAATAAGCAATTAATGAAGGTAATAAGGGAAGAAAATTCGAAAGAAATTCACGAATGATTGTTCTTATCATTCATGATCCTACAGAAAAGAGAAAAAGTGAAATAGAAAGATAGAGATAAGAATCACTAATAGCCTATCTTGCTCTAATGCAAAAATACATTTTGTTATCTATGATATTACGGAATAGCATAATTAGCGTATCTAATCGATGCGTACTTTAAAAGAGAAAGAAAAAGAGAGAGAGAGAAAAAAAGTTTACTTTAGATCTCAATTGAAAATGTTTGTTAATAATTAAGGGTACTTCTAATCGCAATCAGATATGCTAATATACTTTCTTTTGTTATCAATCTACGTGTAATATGTATGTATGAATACTATTAGAATTTTGGAAATTTCTCGTTTAATTAATTTTATACATTAAAATTTACTAAATGTTTGATTATTAATTATTAGAAGAAATATTAGAAAATAAAAATATGACTATAATTATACAATTATGATCTAATGAAATCTAATAAAAATCTACATATAATTGAAACTAAATGATATTGTTTTATTTTTTTTTATTTTTTTTTTTTTTTAGAAAGGGGGAAAAAACGAGAATAAGATGAATTTCTCTGGACTATGATAAAACTTGCTCACAGGAAAGATTCCTTCTTTCTCTTTCAACAAATTCATATTTCACAGATAAGATAAAAGAGTCTGGAAGAGTTCCTCCCATCTAAGGCTAATTATTTATTCCAACAATTTAAATCCATACAGTGAGTTAGAATTTATTGTTAGAGAAATATAATTTTACTTAAATAATAATAATAACAATAATAAAAATTGATTTCACGAGATATAATAAGAAATACTATGATTATTTTTATGAGTAATACTTGGTGTGCTTCTTTCTTTTGATACTTTCCAGACGATTAAACATCCTTGTGAAACCAATTTTGTCTCTTATCATTTATATTAAATTATACTTTTCTTACAATAAAATATTAGTTTTGTAATACAATTAATATCAATTTAGAAAGTCCTCACACAAAATATGTTTCTGTGTATACAAATTTGTATACACATTTGTGTTAAATATCAATTTTTTGTAAATTGATAGTGATGCTATGAATCCTGTTACTCATTATACAAGTATATGTATATTTTGTTGTTTGAAAGATAGCAACTATGCAAGAATAGAAACGGAAGAGACAAAACCACTTGTACTACACGAAAATCTTCCGCTTCCTGTCCTGAGTTAGAATCGACGCTTAGAAAAGTGGGTTGGCCGTTGTGTGCCGGAAGTCTGTAGGGCAGGTCGCCTTTTGTCGTGAGGAAAAAAAACATACTCACATATATAAACATAATATGAAAATAAAAGATGTATGTGTGTGTGTTTAGGGGGAGGGGGAGGAAAAAAAATATGTGAAACCGGATAAAAAGGTATGCGTGTAAAAATACGTGTATATGTACTTACACATTAGAGAAAAAGAAAAACAATACGTAATGAAGACGAGAAAGAGAGAGAGAAAGAGACAGAAAAATCGAGACTTCAACAGGTCGGTGAAAGCCTTGAGTATTTTTATGTATGAAGAAGAGAGTCTATACTACATATGTGTGTATGTTGTATATATGTATATACCTTCTCCTTATAACTGTTCATCGATCGAATACCAAATACTTTGGTCTCATATTTTTGCAACAGTACTCGAAACTTATCGTCAATGATATGCATTCTATTCTCTATAGTTTCGAATACGATCTTTGCAAACGTTGAAAAAAAAAAGACCATATATAATATCTAATTAAAAAAGTATCTGTAATAGACAATTTACAATTTAATATGTGAAATCGAGATATAGAAACATACGATTGATAATTATAATAAATTTGCTATCTACGAATTTATAGCAGAAAATTTGAAAATATTAACGTAAACAAATTTGATGGATTTCTTTCTTTTATCTTTTATACATTTTACGATTATAATACAAAGAAGAAAGGAAATTGCATGGTGAACGAAGGCGTACTGGTCGTCATAAAAGGCGAGGAACGCGTTTCGAGATCTTTATAAAAAAAAAAGAAATGTTAAAAATTCTTCGAGATTGCTAACGATGATACTCGGATGCGAAATAAATTTATTTTCTGTTTTTTTTTTTTTTTTTTTTTTTTTTTTTTTTCATTTGTGAACCTTCTTTTTATCTTATCGTAAATATATTTTTGTTTCTTGAAATCTTCTCACGGTCAGAAGAAGATGAAGAAAGAAGAAGAAAAAGAATAAATTCGTTAAGATAATATAGTAATATTATCCCATGAGGTAATATTCTTTTTTTTAATTCTACGCAAAGTCATTTAAAAAAGAAACAGGTCAACAATAGTGTCCCTGCACGTATATGTATCAGTGAAGAAAACCATATAATGGCAGATGTTTTATAAGAAACGAAGAAAAAAAGAATTGAGTACACGCACACGGATGACGTCATTCTTCGTCATCGATGCTTCTCTCTTTCTCTCTCGTTGCTATCACAGAAATGACAAGAATCCAATTAAGGTTTTCTATAGAGTAAATGAGAGAGAGAAAGAGAGAGAAAGATATAAAATGCTACACATCTGTATGTGCTTCTAATTACTTGAAAGACGTTCCGTGATCCAAGTTTAGCTAGAGATTTTCATTTAAAAAATATAATAAAACATGAAGATTAATAGTTTTAGGATCAATTAAACTTGCTAGACATCTTTTTCTGCTACTTCACACTAATAATAGTTTTAACATGTCTATATTACATCAGGTAAGTCTTATTAATCGCTGTGAAATAAATAGCATTTATAATATAGAATTCAATGTTATGCAAATGATATATCAATTATGATGATTATTATTCAGATGAATAAGCTAAATACTCTTAACTAATACTACGCTTAATAGCTAATAAATAGGTACAATGAAATAATAATCGTTCTACGTGATCTAATTCTCTACATATGAATACATAAAAACTTTTTTGGTAATCGCTTTCTATCTCATCGAAAGAGAACATTAAACAACGTTATTGTTCTTAATCGAAGATAAAAGATAAATTATAGAAGAAAGTACGGTTGTCCTACCTTTTTGTACAATTTGATCCATGTTAGATCACCCTTATTGTCGGTGTATTGAAGCCCAAAGAACCAAACTTCACGTAGACCAATTGTCTTAACTACTTGATCAAAAAGTTGTTTGCCGGTGGTCGTCTGCTGGATAGCAAACTCCAGCTCGGCGTCCATCGTCGTCACCCTGACGTTCATCTTTAGGTAAAACATGAAATAAACGAAATTAAATCAAAATTTAAAATTTGTGTAAGAATACAATGGGTGACGCCTTTCATCAATCGAGAGACGCCAAACGTTTAAAATGATCCAAATAATATCTTATTTCAATTTTGGAAGCTGATAAAACTTCCAAAACGACATTATGCGTTTAATAAAAAAAAAATGACATGTACACAACGACGACAATAAACAAAATAATTATTATAACAAAATCACATAATACGACACGAATCCAACAGAAACTTACCAGTTTTGTACCGGCAACCATGGCGTTGGATCTGGCAGTACAAATTAGACTATACACAAGATATATAAAAAGAAAGATAAAAAATATCACGAAACGAACTAGTAAATGCTAATTGTTTTACAATGATTACAATTTTTTTACATTGATAGGAAAAAAGGATGATTGAGTATTATTCGTTTTAATGTGTACGTGGCGAAGGCGTCGTTTAAATAATTTCACGTTTCGCGTTCCGTTCTCATCACTTGCCGTTGGAACAATGGGCCAAGTACAACCGGCAGCGTCTTTCCTTTTTCCTCCCCTCGGCCCACTCTTTTCGATGCAACGCGTCGTTCCTTCTCACTCACTCACTCATTCGTACTTTCTTTTTCTTTCTCTCTCTTTCTCACTCACTCACTCGTTCCCCCTTCTACGACCTAACCTAATATAAGAAAAAGCGCCACCTTGCTAACTTACTCGATAGAGAAAGAGAAAAAAAAAGAAAGAGAGAGGGAGAGTGAGACGACAGCGTGGTCACGTGAGAAGCCGGTTCGCGTCGCTTGACCAATCATCGTTGAGCCCGGTAATACACGGTGTGTCAAATGAAATGATCATTTTTTTTCATCTCATGTAAGCTTCTCTTATGATGCTACGGGAATGATTATGATTTGATGTGCATTTAAGGGATGCTTATAAACGATTTACGTAATCGTTCTTACGAGACTAAATTTTAAATGATATTTCGTTCGATGCATAGATGTATATACACGTATATATACAGGTATATAGCCTTTAATTAGAAACATTTATCAATATTCGTTCTGCTTATAAGCAATCATTGTAATATTTTAATTAAAATAATCTAACCTGTATATGTTACGTTTATATATATAAATGTGAAGAAGATGCTCAACAAAAATTCTATTTTTTCTCATCCTCCGCTTAAATTCCAATCCATTCGATCTTGTAACGTTACCAGCCTGCATAATTTACGTAAAAGGTGTGATAATAAACGCTTTTCCTCCTCCTTTTTCACATTTCCTGTCAAATCCACGCACGATCTGTGTCGTATGCAATTAACATTTCGCTGTGCCAACAAAAATTCAAAGTCACGAGAAAAAGAAGACGTGCATAACAGTATATATATAATAATACTTAATGTAATACATAATATAATATAACATACTTAAATGTTATCAAATACTTGACATATAAAATTTAAAAGCATCTATCGCACAGGAATTCCTTTGCGGCATTTTAAACATCGATATAATCGATATGTACAATCGAAATATAATCGAAATGGAACACGTACCGACTTCGGCATGGTGGCTGTTGTGTTTTTTTCTTCTCACGTGGACGGTTAAGTTAATTATCCTGAAACAAAAATATCGAAATAATATTAGTAAAAATGAAATATGATACAAATATTGCATTTAATTATATTCAATGTTCATTTGGATTATTAAAAAAAAGAAAGAAAAGAATAATAAAAAAAATGTGTAGGTACGGTCCTGCGAATGGTGCGCACACACACGTGTATAAATATATGTGTTTACTAGGGAGTCTCCATATTGGAAGGAAAGGACAAGTTATAATGCAAATCCGCGTGACCGAGATCCACCGGGTAATGTGAGTGAGGTGTGCCTGCACACTCTCTTCGTCTAGCATTCCCCTTTTTATTATCTAGGACTGTCCACGTTCGTTGAACCTACAATATCTCTCTCTCTGCTTGAGCTTTTGTCGTTGACGTTTAAATCCGTAACTTCAACTTATATGTATATGTGTATTCGACGACAGCGAAGCCGAACGTACTCGGAAAGCGTCTGTCTATTAATAAAAACTTATATCCGTTGATGTCTCATGGGGAAACTGCTTTACTCACTTTGAAAAAAATAACAAAAAATAGAAACGAGGAAAATAAAAGAAATTAAAAAAAGAAAAAATTCAATTACTTTTATTCTGATTCGAATTTGTATACCATAGAGAAAAAAGTATGAAAGATGGGGTACGTTCTCACGGGATTAATCGTGATACGTGATTGGTCGATTTGAAAAAACTATTCATCGTGCCTGACGTCACTGCGAAAATCGAACAACGTGACTACTACCTGTCCCCGCGTGTTCACCCGCGCACGTTTAAATGTATTTTAAAAAATGTATGTGTGTGACATTTCCGTTCTAACTTCATCGTCGAATGCGTTCGAATAAAAATTCGACGACCAAACACGACATCGTAGGATCCTTCTGATCATTCTTCTCAAGGTCGCTCATTGACGTAATATGCTCGTTTCTATCTCTTTTTTTAACGATGAACAACACATGTATATACATGACACACACATTTGTATATAGATATATATAGATATATTGGAATTGTACACCTTTTGAAATTCTTCTCTCGTTCTCCAACTGTTACAGTCTTGAACATAAATCTTTTAAAAACGCCTCCAATTCTACTTTCTTCTTTTCGTATATTTAATAGTCTCTCAATAAAGTAGACGAATTATAATCAATTTCTTCGATTTAGAAAAGATGTTCACTAAATTATAACCAAACTATAAATAGAAACTTAAAAGATTATTTCCAACAATTCAAAATTATTTGATATAATAAATTGGTATCGAAGCATTCGATTGGTCGATGCATAAATTTAAATATTTAAAGTAAAGATCAATTTAAAATTAAGCTATCGTTTAAAAAAAAAATAAAATATTTCTCTTTAATAAAAATTATTAAATGACGATGATGCGTAACATTTCGAATTTCGTAAGACCTTACTTTCTAATTATTAGAAATCAAAATTCGAGAATGGAATTTTAAACAGAAATTGGGTGTACCGTACGATAATAGATCCTTGAAAGCTCGTATCTAAATGAGTAAACAAATTTTGTAGCTAATAAAAAATGATAGCAATAGTAGAGGCATTGTAAAAATAGAAACTGCATGGGGGAGAAAAAAGAGTAAAAGAAAAAGAAATAAAAATATTTCAGCGATCAGCACACGATATGGAAAATGAACACAATTGAATATTGCCAATCGAACATAATTTTATGAAAATACATCTATTTATCATTGATTAAATATGCTATGAGAATCAACTCACGTTAATAATTATGCACAACCCACGCGTTATAAACCTCCTACTTCGATACTCGTATTTAACATACGATAATATAAAAGAAAGGAAATAGATAATATTTGAATTCACATACACAAATACATATATGTAAAACGTAAAAAATCTAACCTCTAAAATTGTACGCTTACATTACAAGGAAAGAAAAATCTAGTTGACCCTGTAAACATCTTGTCGAATTTAACACCTTTGACCGAAGTGTGTTTACGACTTAAGAATATGTATGAATGTACGTAGATATAATAGTAAAGTATGTACATTTTATCTAACTAATTTATTTATTTATATATTAAAATGAAAATCTTTCGAAACGACGTATCTTTAGTTTGGAAAAAAATTCTTTATTGTTTTTTAAGAACACGTTTGAGTATGTGTGTATATATTATAGACAAAAATATTTATAAAAAACAAGAAAAAATATGTAATGAAAAAGAGAAAGAGAGAAGAAAAAAATAACAAATAATTTATTTGACTGTTCAAATAAAACCAATTATCTACATATTTATATATATTTATAAATTTTAGGGTTTAAAAGCCGATCGTGTTTTAAGGTTAGAGAATGATTTGTTAATCGTACGGCGTTATGTTCTACTGAAATCACTTGAAAGATATATGTGTATGCATATATATATAAATGTATTATCGATTAAATACGATCAATTATTTCGATAATTTTCAATGTTACGAATTAACTATTTCTTTTTTTTATCTCTCTCTCTCTCTCTCTCTCTCTCACACTCTCTTGTTCTCTTTCTTTCTTTCTTTCTTTCCTTGTTCCCATCCGTTAGTTCAGTGCATTTAGTCTCGTACGATGCAACAAACGACGACTTACTTGTTTTCTCTATGTAAGAGGGTGTTCCTTTGACACGTGTACCACACATTCACGGTAGACCGGTCGCACTTTTACACTTGCACTAATGTACGCGACCAAGGAACGATGGGAAATTGTGCGATCCACACCCAAAAATCCCGTCACGTTAAGAAAATACTGACACCTCACTAATAATATGGCCGCCGCCCGCCCGCCGATCACCGCGCGCGCCACGGGGTGGGGCAATCCACGAACTATAAAGTTATTATATAGATTGTCGACATTGTTGTATTTTTTTTGTATCGACTGTCGATTTATTTCAACTTATTATAATCGTTTCTTTTTCATTATTATTAATTATTATTATCTTTTTTAATTATATTATTGTAAGCATTGTTATTTTATTAAAAAAAAATAAAATCGTATTTTTGAAAAATAAACAATGTAATACGTGAATCATTTACCTTATTGTTGTGTATTTGTTTCTTTTCTTTTTTTTTAATGTTTTCAAATATATTAAGATATATACTTGTTATCTAAATATGATTCATATCGATATATGTTATATATTAATATTTAATATAAAATTATTGGAAAATAAAATTTGTTTATGTAATAAACATTTAAATATTCTAATGACCACATAGGCGCCACGTTGAAATTCATATTATTACTTTTGTTTAATGCCATAATAATTTATTTGATTGATATATTATAGAAGTAAATTTTTTGATTAATTATATTTACAAAAAAGTCGAGAAAATGTATTTATTTTGTTATGTATTCATTTGTCTAATAATTATAGAGAAAAGTAAAAGACAAATTGGTTTCTACGCTCCTGATCCTGAGAAGTATAACTCTTAAGATTCGAAAAAGCAAGGTATAAATGCACATTTAAGTTGATCAAAGTTAATTTCGAGAAGTTACAAAAAGGGGGCCAGTCTCATGTACTTTCAACTTCGTCTTCTTCTTCATTCATTTTGGATTAGTTATTGTACTTCTCGGGAAATGGTTCTATTTCGATAGTACCCGTTAATTTAAAAAGAAATGTGAGTAAGATAAGTAATCGTAAAAGTGATTAAAATTAAATCAAATAAAGTAAAGATATATATATATATATACATATAAAAAAAAAATAATAATAATAATAAGGGAGCAATGGATCTTTTTCGAATGGTAAATGAAATCATCATGTTCAAACAAAATTGATCTTTCGTTAATTCTTTTAACCTGCACACGTACTTTGTTCTAAATGAAATTTATTAGTACACCGAATGTACAGTGACAATTGCAGTGACTAAATTCATTATTATTATTGCTTTCTTAACCTAACTAACTCATCCAACACACAACAAAAAAATATGAGAAGCAAATTTTTTGTGTATATACATGCGGTCACATATACATATATATAAATTTTCATTTATATTTACAAAATAAGTGTAACAATAATTTAAGGAAAACAGACAAAGAAACAGATAGAAAGAGAAAGAGTGAATATTCTCAAAATAAGAAATGAAAATTAGTTATTACAAAACAAAAAGAAGAAACGAAATTCTTATTAATGCTGTATCATTCTGTTTCAAAATTAATTAATTCTGATTTATTATTGATAGTCTCATATATTTCCTTTCTTCCCTATTCTTGAATTTAACGACGTAATTGATTTTCTTAGAAGAACAAAAAAGAAAAAAGATAAAGAACAGAAAACAAATAACAAGAAGTGCTTAAAAATCTATACTCTCTGGAAGTTCTATATGAAAAAGTCGTTGTAGAAAATATTTCAATTATTAGTCTTCCTTAACAATTTTTTTATATTATTTGCATAATAGAAGAAGTATCCTTCTGTTTATAAAAGAAAAAAAAACTATATATATATAAACAGTTATTTTTAGAAGAACACACGTGTCTCTCATAAATCCTGTGCCTTGCTCGCAGCATCCATGATTTTGATATGAAAAATAGAAAAGGAACTATGGTTAGTCGATATATTTAAATACATTATCGGATTCCTTGTCTTTTACCTATTCCCTTTTCTATTGCATCATTTCTATTATAATATGCATTTGATTTTTATTTTTACATTTTTTTTCTTCATTCGCATGCTTGTTTACACGATACAAATTTTTCTTCAAACATATAATCGACTCAATTCTTAATTGCTGTACAAAATGATTATAATGCTGTTACTGTTCGATACACATTTAACAAGTTCTCTTTAATATATTTAACTATTAATAATAAAAATAGAAATTAGTTTTACATATATATCTATATATATAAATATTTAAATAGTATGATATTTATAAAGGTTACTATGTTATAAATTTGCTTATTTTTTTTATTATTATATCCAATTATGTATCAACATTATTTAATACGTTAAACACTGGGTCAGTCACCAGCGGTTGACATTCTTGTGTATTTCTCTGGATAACAAATTATTGTAGTCTGAGTAGAGAGTTGAACACAAGAAACTTGGTGCTTAATGTGTTAACTAATATATATATATTTAATTAATAAAATTATTAACATTTTAGGCAAGTTGGTCAAAGAAACCTCGATTGTGTACTGATTTAGCATTGGGTTGTTCCATAATCGTACCAGATAAAAATATGTTTTGCTGGGGGAGTTCTATTCATGGCGAATTAGGACTAGGTGGTATCGAGGATGAACATATTCTTGCTCCTCGTGAAGTTGATTTTCAGAAATCCACTGAAGTTACACATAGTAAGATATTTGTTTCTATTTGTTAGATAATTAATGATTTGCTTATCGAGTATTAGAGTTTTATAAATAATCATTTGATATATATTTTAATATATGTTTATTAATGTTGTGTTTATTTTCAGTTGCATGTGGCGAAAATCATACCATAGTTATAACGAAAAATGGAGAATTATATTCTTGCGGAAATAATGACTTTGGTCAACTAGGACATAACCAAGGAAGAAAAAGGTTACGTGAGTATTTTGGATTAATAATATTAATTAATCTTGTTTTTTTAAATTAATTTTAAGTATCAGAGATGAGATCTAAGGAGAGATAGCTTTCAAATTAATATTATTGTTTCGTTTACAGACTTGATATCGGGATTAGACGCGTTTGTATTTAAAAAGGCAGCATGTGGAGCATATCATACGATAGCAGTCAATGAATGGGGACAATTGTTTAGCTGGGGATGTAATTCCGAAGGTCAATTAGGTAACGTAACATTGTAAAAATATATTTTTTTACATTTTATTGTAATAACGAAATATTTGAAAGAATACTAATATATATTGTTTCCAGGATTAAATGTAATAAATATTTCTGAGCATATACCACGTATGGTAAAAACGTTAGGAACAAATATAATAGTGCAAGTAGCCTGCGGTCTAAAACATGTACTTGCACTTACAAATAATGGAGAAATCTATGCTTGGGGTTCAAACTGTGAAGGACAATTAGGTTTAGGTTCTGATACAACTAAGGAGTTGAAACCAAAACTTATCAGCAGCTTAATTTCTTTACCTATTGCATTCATTGCATGTGGTGGTTATCATAGTATAGCTATAACTAAATCAGGTAATGTTTTATAAATCAATGGTGTTATCAGAAAACAAATTTGTGATTTGTACAAATAATGTCTCTATTCTTTTTTTTTTGTATTAGGTGCTGTATTTGGATGGGGAAAAAATTCATTCGGTCAATTGGGACTAAATGATACGCAAGTTAGACATGTTCCTTGTCAATTAAGAACTTTAAGAAATTCAAAAGTATGTTACGCAGCATGTGGAGAAGAATTTTCTGTATTTTTAACGATGGTAAAGTATGAATCATTTAAATTAAATAATATTTAACTATTATCTCTCTTCTCTCTTTAATTTATATTCATTTTTATAGGACGGTGGTGTATTTACTTGTGGCGCAGGAATGTACGGTCAATTGGGACACGGAAATAATAACAATGAGATTTTACCTCGCCAAGTTATGGAATTGATGGGCAGTACTGTTACACAAGTACATATACATTATATAATATTTTTCTTGCATTATCGTATACAAACATTTATTTTTTATAATATATATTTTTATCTTTTGCAGGTATCATGCGGTCGAAGACACACACTGGCATTTGTACCTTCGCATAGAAAAGTTTATGCCTGGGGATTAGGTGGTGCAGGCCAATTAGGCAATAGTGTTACACAGAGTGTTACTACTCCTCAAGCTGTACTTGGACCATGGGTACCTCCTCCTCCTAGTGGACCATCAGAGATGAAACTCAACACGCAATTCAGTCCCTCCTTAATTGATTGCGTCGTTAAACATATATTTAGTGGAGGAGATCATTGTTTTGCTACTGTTGTTGAAAGAGAAGTAAATTTGTGTTATATTTTTGTATAATTATAATTAAAGTTAATTATAATTGTATTATGTAAATTATATTACATTCATCGATTTTTCTATAGGAAAGTAATAAATCAGACGACTGTAGAATAATAGACTCTACTTCTCAGATACTTAATATATCTGAAGAACAATTGGCAGCTTGTCAAAGAGTTCCAGCCGGATCTCCCGTCGATCATGAACTTATGATGTAAGTTAAGTCATTTCATATAATATTTGAAAATATCATAAGAATACATTTAATGTTTCAGGTATTTAGAAACTGTTTTTAAAAGTCAATCTTGTATGAATGGATCATTTTTATCTAAGAACGATGCACATTATGGATGTTCAAGTAAAAATCATGGAGTGGACTTAGAAGGAGCGATTAAATCCTTTGGGATTATATCGGAGTTTTGTAATAATACAATTCAGGAACTGGTACATATTTTCAAAGTTTCACCTTGATGTTTTTTAATATTACTCTTAACCGTTTCATATTAATATTTATAAATAATTGTATTATTTCAGATTTTTAATAGCATAGTGGATAGTCTTATACCATCTTTCTCATCTTCTCCACCAGATATAGAATCGTTAAGAGTATATTTAACAGTGCCTTTGTATCATGGTTTTGCTAATCCTGTACATTGGAACACTTTACATCAACCATTTTGCAAAGCCATTTCAAACTTAAAAATGGAAGCACTTAAAGTAGTAACTTCATGGTGGAGTAAAGCTCCATCTTATTATTTTGAAAGACTCGTTCGTACTCACAAAAGCGTCGTTTTACATATTATTAAGCAATCTAAACATGACAAGGTAAATAATAATAGATTAATTATAATTTTATATTGACCGTTTGAGTCCAGATTTCATGTCGAAATTTTTCCAAGGAACTCTGAGACTCAAATGGTTAAAAAAAATAATATAATGAAATTGAACTTCTCCTTTTTTTTTTATTTCATCTTTAGAATGTTTCGTGGAATGTCCTGGGTAAGCACATTCTAGAGTTCTTAAAATTATTAAATAAATTAAATCATACCGCTGAAGATGAAGTTAGGGTGCCTTATTCCACGTTTCATTTGCCGGAATTAATAGAACACATAGACATTAAAGCTGATTATTTTAAATGGCTGACAGAAAAAGACGATCATTCGGTATAGTAACATGAAATGTACATTTAATGATATAAAACAAAATTAACTGATTAGTTTTTATTTTTACTTCTTTATTTTCAGAATAATAGAATGTATTTCTGTGATTATCCTTTTCTCTTCGATGCGCAAGCGAAAACTATATTATTAGAAACAGATCAAGCTATACAGGTATTATTTTACTATTTTATTGTTAATGTTATATCAATCAATAATTCATTTCTATTTACTCATATTTATTTCATTTCTAGATGCAATCAGCGATGAATGAAGCTGCGACTCGTGCTTTCACTCAAATGCTTTTTCACCCGTTCCCAGCTAATGGTGCGGACTCTAGGCTTCATAATCAATTTGTGACATTAAACGTTTCACGAGAAAATATTGTACAAGATACTTTATTTGAATTATCTCATTACGATTCTAGTGATTTGAAGAAACCATTAAGAGTAAGTAATTTATTTATATATGTTTAATTTTCTCGTTTGATATTTGTATGATATATTGTATTTATAAGTAAATATAATAGGTAAAATTTCATGGAGAGGAAGCAGAAGATGCGGGAGGAGTTAAGAAAGAATTTTTTATGCTTCTTTTGAAAGAAATCTTAGACCCAAAATACGGAATGTTTAAGGAATACGAAGAAACTAGAATTATTTGGTTCAGTCAAGATTCATTTGAAGATGAAATTATGTATTCTCTAATTGGTTTACTTTGCGGACTTGTTATCTATAATTTTATAATTATCGATTTACCCTTTCCATTGGCTCTATATAAGAAATTATTACACGAGCCAGTAGGATTAAATGATATTAAAGAAATGTCTCCCGCAATTGCTAAGTACGTGCCTAATCAATTATACCTTTATCGTATGAAACCAAGAAAATTCATTAAACATTGTTATGATTAATAAAAATTATTTTTAATTGCAGAAATTTACAAAACTTGCTAGATTATGAGAATCCAGATTTCGAAGAGGTATTTTGTTTAAATTTTGAAATAGTGAGAGATGCTTTTGGTGAGACCAAAACGTATGAATTAATACCGGATGGTGGAAAAGTTCCTGTTACATTAAAAAATAAGTAAGTTCCTTTTTTTAAATAAATTTTTCAACAACAAATTATATGTATATTTCGCGTAATATATTATAATGTAATTGTATTTTTTCAGAAAACAATTCGTCGAATTGTACGTAGATTATATTCTTAACAAATCCGTGGAGTCTCATTATCAAGCATTTCATACAGGTTTTCATAAAGTGTGCGGTGGTAGGGTATTAGAACTTTTCCATAGTCATGAATTGATGGCCGTCGTTGTTGGAAATGAAAATTATGATTGGCAAGAATTACAAGAAAATGCGACATACAAGGAAGGATACACGGCTAATGATCCTACTATTATCTTATTTTGGCAAGTTTTTCACGAGTTATCTCTAGAAGAAAAAAAGAAATTTTTACTTTTCTTAACTGGATGTGACAGAATACCTATACAGGGTATGAAAGCGATTAAGGTAATTTATTTCTATTGCTATTATCATATTTATCTTTAAAAGAAAAAATATTACTTTTATTTCATTATTAAAATAATATTTAATGTTTCATATATTTTTGTATATCGCAGATAATAATACAACCTATGAGCGATGAACGTATGCTCCCTGTAGCGCATACGTGTTTTAATGTGCTTGATCTCCCACGTTACCAAACTCGCGAAAGATTACGCTATAAATTATTGCAAGCTATTCAACAAACTCAAGGCTTTTCACTGGTGTAATTGCATTAAAGAAATTATTTTTCTATTGTAATATATTATTGTTATATATTTCTTTTAAAATTCCAATTATTATTATTACTATTACTACTACTATTATGATTATTTTTTAATGGTGTAATATAGAAAATGATTATGATAATGATGTAAATCTTCATTAATTGAATGTGCATTCAATTGACACTTGACATTTGTTGGTGCATAGAATTAAAGCAAATCGATGAATTGCTTCTTGTTAAATAATTGTTTTATGATTCATAACTACAGAAATATTTATGTAATACATACATGACAGTGATGTTAGACAAATTTACATTGACAGATTTGTTCCATTTTTATCTAGTCCGATTATATTATTACAAATTATGTTGTAATAATTGATAAATGATTTAAAAGTTACCGAATAAGAGAATGAAATGTTTAATATTTTTGCTTTGTTTAATAGAATTATTATTACAAAGGAACATAGGAGAAAATTTATAACTCAGGGAGCGTTCATTATTACAACAAGGAACAATTTTTTATATGTTATGCATTAAAACGCGTCGTGACAAATTTAGTCACGATTTAAAAGAAAGTTTAAAAAATAATTTATTATTATAGAATCTTTTCTAAAAAAAAAAAAAAAAAAGAAAAGGAAATATTCGGAGAATGCACTATTATGCTTTTAACTCCGACATATGCGTTTTATATTTTTAAAGTTAAAAAAAAAGAACAAGAAAATTCATTTATTTCATAAATGCAAACAAACAAAAATATTAAAAAAAAAAATGAAAATCGAAATGTGTGCTTTTATATTTGAAAAAAATCTTGTATCTATCTATTTATTTATTTGTAGTATATTTAAGAATATTGATAGATTGTTAAATTAGAGGGAAAATGTTGAGAAAAGAAAAACGCGCGTAATTTTTTAATCTCGTCTTACGACATATTTCTAAAAATAATCATATATTCCAATGAAAAATCACATGACGAATATGTGAATATTTTGAACAAAAAACATTTGCATTTGTAAAGATCGTTTTTCTTTTATTTATTTATCTCTTTCAAGAACAATAAATTTACATAATTACAAACGCATCGTTGATTATTCATGGACACGTCGGTGCCAAATCGTATTATAAAATGAGACACGTATTTATATATATATATTTTTTTTGTTTTATTTTAAAATTTACTTCGTTAGTGATAAAATTATGCTTTCAAGTTGTAATTATTATTCCTATCTTTCTTCGAATCTACATTGTAATGATCAATAATATGTCTCTTCGTTCGTCTATCGATATCATTTAATATTAATTGTAATATCGTATTTTTTCACATCGTTTCAAGTTTCCTTGTTCATTTCTATTAGCATTGACAAAGGCATTCAATCTTCGCATGTATATCATTTTTCTTGTTTTGTTTTCTTTGTTTTTTTTTTTTTTTTCATTTAAAAACAAATTACACGACTAAAAAATATTTGGAAGCGTTAATTATCTTCTCCTATATGAATGTCATAATTTTTAATAGTGTATCGGCACAAAAGAAAGAAAGAAAAAAAAAGATAGAAGAAGCATAAATTGTACATAAAATTTGTCTTAACAATTTCTTTTCTTATTTCAAAATATTTATGCGCGACAAAAAAAAGGGAAATGTAAAATTAGAACAATTTACGAGTCGGTCAGTCTCTCTCTGTAAATAGATACATATATATATACTTATATATATATATCCGACACAGGAAATCTGTACAACGAGCTTGCCAAGATCTATGAAAAGTAATACATATATATATACACATATATATTAAAATTATACATGTTAAATAAAATAATGAATTAATCGTTTCAAAGAGAATCAATTTCAAAGTTACGAAATAAACTTTTCCGTTATTTTCTACCCCGTTTAGAAAAGAGAAAAAAGGCCTAAAAAAAAATTTGAAATTTGATTTTTCGATTAAAACTCGTCAACTGGCGATTATTGGAATTTGTGCAGATATCCTAAGAAAAAAAAAATTTTAAAAAAAATTAATAAAAAGAATCCTATATAATATTAAGGCGAAAATATAATGCGAATATATTATAATATTAATTAGAATGCCCTCTGCTAATGTTGATAAGATGGAGTAAAGTATTGAGTTCCTGGTGGAGCTCTGTAACCTGGATAAGTATTGTTAAGAGCATGCTGAGCAAAGAATCCGCTGTAATCCTTGTTAACTCGACGTGGCCTAAAGGCGGGCCCCCTAGCCAGTTCCATCCTAGCTTGGTTCTCAGCTTCCGTTTGTGCTTTTACGGAAGGTGGTGGCCATTTGAGATCTCCTCTCATGTTACCACTGACTGGAGCTTTCGTTGCTGCAGGTTGTGCTTGGTACACTGGTGCTGGTGCCTAATAAATTAATATTACAATTAAAATTATCTATTAAATAAAAGAAGGTAATTTTAATTTTTAACGCTATGTTGTTGATCGATACAACATTGATTTTACAAAGCAAATATATTATGACGTTATACTGGACGTCAAAGTATTAAAATTATTAATAAATGAAAATAAATATATCAACCTGTGAAATCGGAGGCTCCGGTCTAAGAACAATGGTAGAAGGTGGTGCTTCGTAAGATTGATATGGTTGATTCTGTTGTCTCGTTTGCTCGTTATGCTCTTGAGGGTGCTGCTGAAACAAAAAAATATGGATATCAAAAGATTATCATGAATTAATAATAAGTTTCGCCTTATGTCATTGAGATCCCTTTTGTTCTGCTGCATTGCATAACTGCATTGAGCCATTGATTATTCTTGATAATCCATCTGAGGTTGAAGGGGTTAAAATGAAAGAAGAGAAGAAGAAGAAGAAGAAATAGAAGTAAAAGAAGGGATAAATAAAAAGCACAGATGACAATTATCTTTTTCATCTTGCTCAAATTTCCAAAGCAAGGACGTATCAAATTAAATCTGAATCTTCGACTAAAAAAAATCTTTTAATCTTTCCTTTAAAAAGTCTATTAAATTCAGAATTTTTTCAGGTACACAAAATTAACGTCCGTACTTTGAATCACTTACCTTCTGATGCTGTAATTGTTGTTGATGATGTTGTTGTGATGGTGGTTGTGATAGTTGTTGACTGGACCAATCTTGAAGAGGATGTTGTTGTAGAACAGGTGAGGTAGCAGGTGGTGTAACAGGTGCCCAACCCTTAGGTGCAAATGGCTGTTGGAAATGCGATGGTTGCCGTAGAAGAGTTCCACTTGGACTGATCGATGGCGATGGGGATGATGGAAGGACACTCTGAGTTGATGAACGAGCTACCGTTGATGGTGGTTGGGGTGATGGACCTGATGAAGGACTGCTCTGGTACGAGGGAACCTCACCGATTCCACGGGTCTTTTCAAGGGAAAATAAAAATATGGTCGTTTGCTACTAAAAACGTGCACATTCGACGTTCCTGTCACTATTGTTTTCCTTCTATACAGCTGACAATGATTTTTAATCATTTATCAAAAATTAACAAACGTGCATTCTTTCTGCATCGATATTTTCACGTATAATAATAATAGTAATAATAATAATAATTATAAATTAACAGGCTTCACGACATTTCAATAGATACATATATGTATGGAATACATATAGCGTGCACATGAAAGTTCACAAGGTTTTATTGACATTTTAAAAATAAAAATAAAAAATGGATATCATCGAAATGGAACATACAAGGAAACACAATTACACTACAAGGCTATCACATGACAAGAAGTTCCGTACGTACCAAAAAACTGGGATTATGCTATGAAAGACACTAAGCATCGCTTAACAACATCAACGAATATCTTATTAATATATCATAGTCACGCATATCGTGATATTTACCTTCGCTTGGACGGGTCCCTGTTCAACGTAGTCAAGATCTTGATCTTCAGGAGGTGGCGGCCAAGCAACACGTTTTAAATCTGAAACAAAGTGAAATTATGTTATGTCTTAACAAAAGTTGGAACTGTATCTATAATATTGAACAAAATTATTGATGCATAATATAATTGTTTTTATAATATCTTTTGTATTTCTGTTAAAAGTACGATTCGTTATTTCCTAAATTTGATGATGATGATGTTATAAAAAAATTCCATCTATACTAATATTTTTATTTAGCATTTTACGACACTCAATGCATCTCTTTCTAATAAAATCTAAATTATATTACGAAAGAGATCATACGATCAAAATTATCAACGAACGTCTTCATCATATTAATGTACTTGGCTGTAGTTGCTGGACGTTGCAATAGTTTCATAGGGATATTGCAAAAGATTTAAAGAAAAAGAATAATTGTAAAATTAAAATTAAAAAACACGGAATTAAAAAGAAGATACAAGAAGGAAGAAAAAGGAATTCATATTACGTCAAAAGCGTGAAATTAAAATTCCTTATGTTGATCCCCGTCGTTGTAGCCAAGTTTATATTTATGCGATTATTATCTTAGAATTTTCATGATTTCTACGTGACCTCGTTGTATTTTTAGTTTCTTTGAAATTCGAAGGCCGAATGTATTTATTTTCAAACGATACAATATTTTTTTTCTGTTTTAAAAAAACTTCTATCGAGTCCAAACTATATAAAAAAAGAAGTACACAAATACATGAAATTTTAAAATAGAAATTGTGAAGAAAAAGTAAAAGAGATCATCTCTTTTAAAAATATTGAAAAATTCATCGATGCTCACGTAAACGAATTTTTTTAAATTACAAATTTACCTTTATATTATTATAATTATATTTTAATAATTATACACTATAAAAAAGGATATTATCCAAAAAGAGAGAATCATTGAAAATAAATTTCAATTCACTAAAAACACAAAATAATAGTCACTCATTGTCACAGATAACACAAAGGCATATTCTTCCAAATTGGATTCATATAACAAGGTTGCATATCAGCTGGTCACTCTAAACAATACTATACATTGAAAATCCAAGAAATGATGATTATTATTACGATAGATCTATA